ACACAGTTAAGTCCCTGCTCAGGTGTGTTTGGGACAAATTGGACAGTAAGCAGTTTGCTCTCCCAGGAAGATCCACTACGCAGGCCTTGGTATATTTACTTCACACAGTTTTGGAGTCGGCTTATCGTGGTGAGATGTATGTCAGAATGTTTTTTTCTGACTTCTATAAAGGATTTGATCTTGTTGATCATGATGCTCTACTCCATGAACTGGATAACCTGGATGTGGACCCACATTTAGTTTGGTGGATTGCTGCCTTTCTCACCAATAGAAAACAGTGCGTGAGGGTGGGGCGGCGCTGTCCCCAACCATACAGCTGACTGGCGGAATTCCTCAAGGAACTAAATTGGCCCCTATCCTGTTTTGTTTTCTTGTGAACAGAATGGACTTTAATTGTAAAAATAGAGTTAAATAGGTAGATGACGCTACAGTTATGGAATTTGTCCTTAGGCGCTCTCCTTCATATTTGAATTTTACTGTTTCGGAAATTTACTCGTTTGCTTCTTCTAGGGGAATGGTTCTCAACAGTAAAAAGCGCAAAGAAATGTGCAATAGCTTTTTGCTGTATTTCCTGTTTCCGCCAGCCCCCCTACTTGTTGGTAATTTCCTGATAGAAAAGGTTTCCTGTCACAAACTGTTAGGGGTTCACTTTCACTTATCGGATAACTTAACGTGGAAAGAACATGTCTTTCATATTGTAAAGAAAGGGAACAAGCGGCTATATGTAAATTAAAGCGTTTGGCGACTGGTTTTGATGCGTCCTTGTCTTTCCTTTCTTTTTTTGGTCAGAAGTTCGTTCCATACCAACGATCAACCCGGCACTTTTAAATGCGCTCGCGCACGATGCAAAACTTGTCCCTTCTTTCACAACGCTGCGAAAATATCGGGACCCAAGCGATCCGTTCAGATCACCGATTACTTCACGTGTACCTCCGCCAACGTAATCTATCGCATAACTTGCACGTATTGCAAAAACTTATACATCGGCGAAACAGGAAGACGACTAGGTAACCGATTCCGAAAACATCTTCGTAACGTAGAAAGGAATGACAAGGACGCATCAAAACCAGTCGCCAAACACTTTAATTTACCTAATCATTCTAGACAACATATGGCAATCTCCGATCTTTCCTTACATTTAGGCAACACGGAAAGCCGCAAAACTCTTGAAAGTTAATCTTTCAAATCGGCACTCTTAATCCCACAGGTATCAACGAACGCTTTTCATTCCACTAATTTATTCATGTTTTTCTCGTTGCCATGCTCCCACCGATGGAAGCATGGCAACGGAAAATACCTCCGCTTCTACATATATACTCACATACAACCCACAATTCCTCTATTCGCTCTTACGAAGGGCTAACGCGCAAAACGTCAGCTTTTTCATTCGTTACGGTGGCCAATTTACATTTTTCAACTGAGTTGATATTACCAAATTACATTGTTACCCCCACCGACGCAGCACCACAGTTTCTTTAAAAACTTTTAGCTTTTATTACAATAAACAACAGTCCTTGCACAAATTCACAGTCGTTGGTTAAAATACTTTCCGGTTTGGTGTGGTCCTTCACGTTCAAGAGAAGCTGTAAACATTACACCATAATTAATACCATCTCCACAACTCAATTCTAGAGGAATGTTTTAAGTACAATGCACTATAATAACATTGGTTTCCATACTTAAAATATCAAATGTACATGTAACAAGGTTTTTTTTAGAGCTGTTAATTCTAAAACAACAACTTCCGATTTTATCAATTAGATTATGTGATTATGTCACCCTATACCCTGAACTATTCCATTTCACTGAAAAAAAAAATTACACTCAAAAAAAAAACTACGTTGCCCGCAAAATAATTTCCTAACAGAAGCAATTTGTACAGTAATACTTAACTAAGCTCTTAATAAAACCATCAACTGAAAAAAAGCACACGTTCGAGTACAAGCTGAAGAGGAATGAGCACAAGGTAAACAAGAATGAGAGCATAATGAATAAAGCTGCTAAATAGTACTTTTAAAACTATTAAAGACAAATCATCTGCTATTAAAATCAAGCAAACATATTGTCATCTCATCTGTCGTTCTCTTTTAGAAGACAAAGATATTCATCAACAACTTCTAAAAACAAAATTCAATATTCTTGGTATCCTAAAGATCCCCTTATACGGAAAAAGGCCTATTTACAACCTACTTTCTGAAATGAACTTAACAAGCACAAAAGATCAGTAAAGATTTTAAAATCGTTTGTCAGACAACAGTTGTTGATGAAAATCGTTTTCTCCCCCACACTGAGCCATTTAGAACACAATTTGATCGACAACGGATGGAGACGGTCAAAGTGTTAGTTGTCTGACTAATTCTGTATCTAATTAATTATCATATATTCACAGTTGTTTAAAAAGCACGCGTTGAACAATAATTCTAACCTTTATAAAAATGAAATTATTACGTGACAGGCGATAAGTAGCAAGAGGAGCCTATCCGAGCTCTATGCCTCTGACTTAATAGAACGGGAAAGTGTCAGGCCTCCTCTAACTTCCCAGTCAGTGCCAGTTATCGCTTCAGACAAACACTGTTTGCCCGCGTCTGTTACCTTCCCATTCCATCTGAGGTCCAGGCTCCTCAGTTTGCAGTTGGGATCAGTTGAGGCTTTGCACAAGTACTTTATTCCTTCATCTCTTATTTGATTGCAACTGATATCTAAACTCGTTAATGCACAGTTCTTGTTAGTTAAAGCTCTAGCAAAGTCCTTTACTGCTCTGTCTCCTGCTCTATTCAAACTGACGTTTAACCTGGTTAAGGTGCAGTTACTGCTGGTCAGGACAGTAAACAACTGCATTATTTCTTCATCCCCTAACCGACTGTCAGAGACGTTCAAACTGGTTAACTTGCAGTCGACACTGGTGAGCACGTTACACAAACACATTATTCCTTCATCTCCTAACCAATTGCCAGAGACGTTTAAGCTGGTTAAATTGCAGTCCCTACTGATCAGCACTTCGCAGAGGTGTTCTAATCTCTGACTTTGTAAACCATTGCGATACAGTGTCAAGCAGTAAAGTTCGCCCTGAGTAAGAGCTGTACACAAGTTCTTCAAACCTTCTTCAGATATCCGACTACAAGAAAGGATTAATCCAGTTACTTTCCAGTCCCTGTCGGTGATCGCTTTACACAATGTTACCAAATCAGGGTCGTACTCTGTTGGCCACGCCTTCAAAATGCCTGACGTCGAACTGTATAACGATAAACCAATAATCTCCTCCTCCTCCTCCCACCGGTACCACGCGTCAAAAAACCAGTCCCATGGGAGTTTATTATAAGAAAGTTCATCCATAAACAGCAGCGCCACCTGCCATGCACCTTCTCTGATGTGAATACTAAGGAATGTTTTCAATTCGTACTCATCCACTGCTTCTTGTAATTCCTCCACGGCATTAAGGGAATGGAGTGCTAAAAGATTAAAGAAAAAAATTCTCAATATTTTACTTGAAAACCATTACTTTGAAAAATCCGCCTTTACATATATTTTTTTTTTATCCAAAACAGACAAACCACACAAAGATACCTTGGCAAATTGGAAACAGAGAATTTCGAGTCTCAGTATTTCATTCAGAGTCATTCAAAGTCAAAGGAAACCAGTGGGTAAAACACAGAGATAGACAGTATAAATCATAAATGTCGTGCGATACCAAAAACAGTGAGTTAAAGCCCATTTTCTTTTTCTTTGGCACGGCAAAAAGTCTAAAAATTTCAACAAACTTTACACGCGAAGTTGTAAATCACTGTCATAAAGTTTTATTCTTACACATTCTTTTCCCTCATTTAAAAATTTAGAAATCTAGAGTCAAAAAATGCCTGCTGGAGATGGTGTTGTTGTTGTTCTTTTTCGAATCTGAGTTTTTGAAACCACAAAAGTTTCAGAACATTTTCAAAATCAAAAGAGAAAAAATGTGGTTTCACATGGCAAACAAACAAAAGAAATATTAGTTTTGATAAACTGAAAGAAACGTTTTCCTTCTGGGAATAAGGCACCACATAAGCGATCAGCTTTAACATCTGTATTATACATGCTTATAGACCAAGTAGAATGGTCATGTCCGTCCGGCTTGATCTTAATCAGTTGATCTTGATCAGATTTTTATTCCGTGACCGCCGCACTTCTCTTTCCCTTTTCTTTCTCTTGGGGCCGTACCCTTAGCCGTGCAGCTTTTAAGAGGCACTCACCGTAAATATCGAGAATCCGCCGACCGTTGCAAACTTTCGTAAGTCGTTTTATTTTTCTACAGGACCCTTTTAATGAACCTTTTTCGAAAACTATATCAAAAACCTCTATCGCGCTTTTTTTTCTCCGAAAAATCGAAAAGTTCTCGGTACGCCTAAATGGCCGTTGTCCAATCAAAAATTATGCAACTTCGGCACCTTCATACGCTACAACGCGATGCAATCCTACTTTTAAATTTTTTGTTAACAGATGGTCCTTTCATCTCTTTGAAAATATTAATTTCTTACTATGTTGTAACGTTTAAGTCTGAATAATGGGCAGTTGAAATAAAGTACTTTGCGTCTCTTTCGAGGAGGTAAAATAAACGTCAACTTCATTGGCCTCTGAACAGGTCTGCCTTATATGCTTAAAAATCATAATATACATCATCTTAAAAGCATTATTCTTTTATTTTGATTTGTGTAATTCTTATCTTGGCCCGCCATAAGCGGCACGTCCAGGTTTTAAAGAGTTTGGGCTATTTTGTCAAAATTGAAATGCGAACCGCCGAACAGCTGTCACGACCCATTTAAAGGCCTTTAAAAAGGTCTTGTATACGGTGGTCCATAGGGTACATGACACATTTTTTTTATCGCGCGATAAATAACTAAATATCGCGCGATAAATGGAAATTATCGCGCGATATATGGAGATTATCGCGCGATAAATGATAAATTATCGCGCGATAAATTCAATGTTATCGCGCGATATTTCGCACTAAGCGTGTGCATGATATTAGTCACGCAGTCAACACAGTAAGGTAAGATGGCGCTGTTAAGGCATTCTTTGAAAGGACTTTTACTTTTTGGAGCAATACATTTATCCAGCGCTGTATTAACGCCTTACGTTACCAATGGCTCGCCTAATACTTTCCAGAGGAACGATATCATCAATCACTACTTTTCTCTCAATCTGGCTTACTCAGAGATCCTCGCTTTTCTTTTGTGTTTTCATGGCATTAAAATAAACTTGCGCCAGCTGAAACGAGTGCTTAGGTGTCAGGGTCTTCGTAGAAGAAAAGACCATAGTGACATTAAGGAAATTTTAAATGCGATTGGAACTGAACTCGAAGGAAGTGGAAACAGTATTGGTCATCGCCAAATGCACCAGCGATTAAGAATTGACTACGGCCTTGTTGTCCTGAGAAGGAGACCGTACTGGTTATTATTAAAGAATTGGATCCTGCTGGCGTACAGTCACGATCATCAAAGCGATTATGAAGGAAAGAATACCGAGGCAAAGGACCTAACTGCATTTGGCATATAGATAATTACGACAAGCTCAAACCATTTCGGTTTTGAATACAAGGGGTTATCGATGTTTACAGCCGACGTATTCTTTGGTTTGAAGTTGGTCGTACAAACAACAACCCAAAAATCATTGCTAACTATTTTACAGACTATATTCGTCAAATTGGTGGAGTCCCGCGGATAGCGCGTGCAGATGCGGGAACAGAAATGAATGTGTCGCGAGAATACAAAGGTTTTTGAGGTCAGGGTGCGAAGATGCATTTTCAGGTGACAAAAGTTTCATGTACGGAAAGTCAGTTAGCAATCAGAGGATAGAGGCTTGGTGGTTTTTTCTCAAGAAAAGTAATGCAAGCTGGTGGATTGACTTTTTTAAAGACATGAGGAATGAGGGTATCTTTTGCGATCATGACCCAATTCACTTAGAATGCTTAAGATTCTGTTTCATGCCTTTGATTCAAGGAGAGCTCAACAAAGTTGCCATACACTGGAATCTGCACAGGATAAGACCTTCGCATAATTTAGAATCCCGTTCTGGTCGACCAGATGTACTGTATTATGTTCCTGCGTGGACAAATGCAACGGAATACCGGACAGAAGTTGACCTAGATGACTTGATGGCGCATGCTGCGACAGAACAAGCCCCAAATAGTATAGACTGGTGGGCAAATAGTATAGACTGGAGAGCAAATAGTATAGACTGGGGCGCAAATAGTATAGACTGGAGGGCATATAGTATAGACTGGAGGGCAAATAGTATAGACTGGAGGGCAAATAGCATAGACTGGAGGGCA